TCAATGTAAGTGTCTACCCATGCAACAGAACCATGTCAGTCTCACTTTATCAGTTTATTTTATTTAATGTTGGGTGTGTTAGTGTAGCTATTGTTTTTGGTTTAATGCTGTGAATATGATTTAGGATTACGCTTGATCATTGTCTTAACTCAAAAAGGTTCCTCAACACAGCTACATCTTTGATACTGACATGTGACAACAGTGCATCTGTCTCTGTGTTACATACTTTTATGAGTATGCTGGCCAGGCAGACAGACAGGGAGGACTGGTGTCCAAAGTCATGACCCTGCCCTGACCTGGATGAAGGAAATGGTCACGCTGCTCGAGACAAAGCAGGGCAAAGGAGAGTCTGAGGGGCTGGCTGGTCAGCCTCTAACAATGGGTCCGTGCTCTAAGACCGTGGGCCACACAAAGGCCAGAGAAACCCCCTCCTTACCACTCCCACATTGCAATAGAGCCGGCATTTCACACTGGCCTGTGAACAGCCATTCAATCAAACTACTGTTTAACCCGACCCCTGACCTACACAGAAATCAAGATGAGTCTGGCGGGATGTATTTAGGTAACTGACCTTACTGACCTTACTCCGAGCCAGCCATCAGTTACTACACAACCTTGTCCTCCTGCTATCTTCACCTCAGTTAATATTCTACTCATTTTAATCTTTAAATCCAATACGTATCCTATTTTGGAAGTACTATTCCAAATATCTGCAAATATTCTTTAAAAGCATGTAATCCCCCCCCCCTCCAATAAATAAAGTGTCTAGTGATGGGTGTAAGGAGCAATAGCTCCCTGGGGAACAAGAGACACCACCAGACCCTTCGTCTGGGTCAACTACCCTCGAGCCAGGGCTGAGAGAAGCAACCACATGACCCTCTTCCTTCTCAATGGACTGCTCCTCCCCTCTACCTGTACATGGCTCGGATCAAGGTGTGGGGGCTGCATATCAAACAGACCGGGGCCTTTGATGTGGATGGAAACACAAACACTGATTTGAGCAGAGTCGTAACAGCTTATTTGTTCCCTTTAGTCATTCATTGAGCTGCTTGTTGAATGTGTATGTCTTCAAAGGACTGCTGCATGCACCGGTGGTACAGTAGCCAAGGAGGCCCTGAGCGCTGTGGCCTAGTGGGTTGTGGGAAGGCCATCTGGCTTCCTGTTCCTTAGATTTGATATTGATTTATTGGCTGTACAGGGGAAGATAAGGGGACACCAGCTGCCAGAAGTTCTCCTCTGCATCCTCACAGACAATGGGCCTCCTGGTCATCTACATCCTGACTAAATAGGTAATGCATCATTCCTTGTTAAGTTTTTACAAGGAAAATAGAAATTACCAAAAATCAACAGTGGCATATTTTTGTACAAGTTCCATATTAAACAAAAAAAAAGAAAAAACAGATTTGTGTGTTTTTCTTAGTAATCCAAACAGCTTTTTTTCTTTTTTTTTTTAAAGCAACAGCAGACGCAGAACTCCACTGAAAACGAATATTAATCCCACATTACCTAATAATTTACGGATCAGTACTTTTACAATTATTACGCGAATTAATTCCTTAAGGCTACACATTTATTGCTGCTTGCTTTACATTATACAATGTATTTTAACACATTTACTGGGCTGCAGGGCTGAGATAACAGTGGCTTCAATGTTTGTAATAAAGACTGTTCCCAGTAATGAGGTGCAAAATTGCATTTACTATTCCTAACAAACCCTGACAACCTTTCACAGTTTAACACATCATAGAAACCATTAATCCAAAATGAGGCTTCTATGCATAACAAGTCTCCCATTCCTGTTAAGTGAGCCGGGGAGTGCGGCAGTTTGGCCTGAGCCTTGTAGGGAGAGGTGTCGAAATGGTGTCACAGTGAATTGTAGGCCTACATATGCCTGATTTTTCTCACCAATACACCTCCGACCCTTGAAAAAAAAAAAAAAAGACACTCACATACAGACAGACTCTGGTGTCACCCACCCAGGCCTTGCTCCCCTTCCCCCATCCCCCATCCCATCCCTTCCCTTTCTTCCCTTTTCCCCTCCCCTGCCAACACAAGCCTGTGATGTGACTGTCTCGAGATAATGAGGTGAGAATTTTATTGCAGCAGTGTGTACGCCTGGCACCAGTCTGTGAGGCAGAAACTCAAGCCTCCGTGCAGCCTCTCTGGTATCGGGCGCCCTCTGTTGACCACTGTGAGCTCGCACCAGACACACAGAGTGCTCTCTCGGGTCCTGCAGCAATGCACTTCAAAGTGGGAGATCAAGGGTTGACTTGCGCATGACATCCAGAGAATGACAATGCCTCAGCCAGCCTACACCTACCGCTACGTGCCAGTCCCTGAGACACAAAGGCATGCAGGCTGCTCCCGCACTACTTTTGCTTCATGGAGGAAGCGCTCATTCAGGAGGGGGATATACATACAGGAAGAAGGCAGTGCTCTATCTGTATTCTATAGCAGCAGTGTGAGGGGCAGAGGAAGGACAACAAGGAGACAGAGTGGCAGCAGATTCTTGGTGGCGTCCTGCTTGATTGCTGAAGCATTAATTGATAAGATGCAGCATGAGTCCACGTCACACCACTTATCTTTGAAGAAACCCATCCCATTATCTTGTGTATTACAAACTACACACATATGACAGTGAGATCAAAGAATTTTCAAAGTGGGCTCTTTTATCATTCTGGGGAGACAATTTATTCCTACTGTGACATTCTTCTGTTAAATGACTCTAGCTCCTCTTGCCAGCCTTATCGCCTTGGCTCTCAAAATTGTATTCATTTGCTTTATTCAAATACCCCTGAACCATAAACTAGTGGCTTGATACCCTGAATAGCTAATATGAAATACAACCTCAGTGTCCACACATTTCACAGAGCAGTAACTAGCTCTGCACTTGTTTTACCATCACTGCAATTACCTCCTCTGCATCAAAATTTGAGCTTGACTTTTGAAAAAAAAAAAAAAGCTAGAATCCCAAATAAGTTAGTATCCTATTCACACACACACAAACACATACACATACAGACACACCCTTTTCCACCCCCGGTAGGCAGCTAGAGGGGGAGTGAGGGGAACTTCTTGTGATCAGGCTGTCATTTCCTCTGGTTGGCTCTGTTATTCCAGAAAGCCTTTGTGGAGGAGCCAAGTGGTCCAGCCACAGACAGAAGGTGGGCTCATCGCATGCATCTGAGGTTGTCAGCCCGGCAGGGGAGGGAGGCGCTCCTGGCAGGCCAAGACAAGGAGAAAACAAACATGGTGCACGAAACAAGACAGTGACAACAGATCCCCGCTGATAAATACAGTTATACAGTGAATCAAGCCTGATTTATCCTCTCCACAGGATGATTGAAAAATAATTTAGCTGATTGGTGCAAGAATGTGTCATAATTTCACTGCATATGACACAAGGACTTTGCATAGAAAATAAATTAAACATAAGTAAAATAGCTGTCAGTCAGCCAGCATTGAATGACTAGACTAGATTGGTAGTACACATGCATACTGAAGTGACTAATATACACATGATACTTTGTCGTGTAGCATAAATATATTGTCATTTTATCCATGAATGTCACGGAAACAGTTTTCACTTTTAAGAGAACATCCAGTTTAAATAAAGGTCAGCTTTTAAAGTTATTATTTTTTTTAATTTAGAGAAAAAAAAACATTAACCTTTTCATTGTGCATGAAACAAATACAAGTAAATGCAGCCTCCAGACTATCATAAACATAACAATCTTACTTTTACATGAGTGGGATATGCTGGTACTTATAGTTACTATTCTTTCACCGCAGCACCATCAAATAAAGCCAATAAGTGGGACTATGGCGCCACCTATGGAGACAATGAAGCCCCACTAATCCCTGAAATACTTCCAGTACCAAAGTGGGACCTCAGGTTCAGGAGTCAGCTGACAATAAGGAATGGTTTAATTCAGCTACTACAACCAGTTCACTGTTTATTATTTACTGAAAAGCACATATGACTGACTGCACTGACCACAAGTTTCACTTCCTCCCAGTTCCACCTGCTGTTGTGACCTTCACAATTTATTTATATGATGTTGATAGTCTCACTATTACTATGTCGTGCTCCCTTGGCCACCAGATTTCCTGACTATACACTGAAGCAAGTGAGCAAGTACAATATTTTTCTTAAAATGAGAAAAATGCAAACACTGAAGTACTAGTGCTACAAATTTGTATTTTACTTGATATTACAGCTTGTAAATGCTTTTTGTAGAGGCAAAGAGTCTTTTGCTCTTGATGTAGAAATTTTCATTCATTCTTCTTGTTGATAACTTCAAGTATCTGAGATGTTTACACACTGTTTTGCACACACGGCATGTTTAAGATCTACCTACGGATGTTCAGGTCACAGGACTGTGAGGGCCATTTCAAAAGATTCAGACTGTGTCTCCTGAAGTTGGTCATGGTGGACTTTGAGGTCTTCTGATCATTGTCGCTGAGACCAGCCTCTTTTCAGTGTCACTTTCTTGAATGACTGCAAGACATTGCCATCCAGAATTTGCTGATTTCTCCGAGAATTCATTCTTCCCTCTGTCTGTGCAATGTCTCCTGTGCCACTGGCTGACACACAACCCCAAAGAAAAATATCTCCATCCAGTTTAACAGTTGGCAAAGAGTACTAAATTAGTCAGGTTCCCTTTTACACATGCCACAATTACCATTTAATTCCTTTTTGTTTTATGTTGATGTAATCTAAAGTAACACTGCATTAACATTTGAGAAAAGGCTTTTATATTATGATATGTACTTTGTGTGCAAGACTTTTACTTGTAAGGGAGTATTTTTATATTGTAGCATGTCTACTTTTAGTGAAAGAAAAGGTGTAAACATTTCTTTCACCAATGTTTATAAATCTGAAGACACGACTGGGCAAAGGACAGTGCACTGGACTGTGTGACAGTGGATTTGAAGGCTTCTCAAAGAGCGTCCTCTAGTGTTACTGGGACGTCCCCTTCAGCTCAGCTCACCTCCAGCACTGCTCCATGTGACGTGGTTTGTCACATAATACCGCTGGCGAGGACAGGAGAAGGATACCGCTTCGCTCTCTATATTTAGATGTCTAATCTGTGTAAACAAACAAACCTTTCCTGTCCCTCGAAAAAAATTGAAAATAATCGCAGGAAGCGCACATCTCCGGCTAAAGGCTGAACAGTGATGGCCTCAGTTCAAAAGGACAACAGACTCACCGGTTCTCAAAGCTTTATGTGCGTCGGTTTCGCCGGGTTTTTCAGTAAAACTGTCACGTCGCCTCTGGAGGTGGTAAAAATTAAAAGTCAGGTGGGCACCTTTCACTGTAAGAGGGGTTTCTGCCAAAGTTTCCTTCTCATCTACCAGAATGAGGGACTTCGAGGATTTTGGAAAGGAAATCTCGCCTCTTGTCTCCGGTTGTTCCCCTACACGGCAGTTCATCTCACAACGTACAAAAAGTGAGTCAAGCTGAATCTAAATTTGGTATAAATTGTTCTTGTCTCATGTTGTATCTGCTTAATAACATGTCATGTGGCTCGTATTTATGTTAAATTAGCTTGTTAGCCAGCTTGGTCAGCTGACTTAGCAAGTTTGTGTGGTGTAAAGGAGTCGATAACACATGTGACATTCAGTAACTAAAAGTATGTAAACACACGACAACTGTTTATTGTTCATCAAGATAAAATAACAAAAATGGTTCATTTAAATAGTTTGTTTATTTTCATTCGTGCTGCCAAATGTGTACTTCCTGTTTTACCGTACGAGGCGCACCTCATCATTTCAGCCAATCACAAGGCTGGATTTGCTCAGTCGATTTTTAAGAATGAAGGGATTCATCGTGCCCTGAGTTTTGTCTCACAGGTAGTCAGTGTTGAATGTTGTTGTGGTCTACCACCAACTTATTGCTCCAGCTAACTGGAGCAGGAATAATTAAGGGATTAATCAATCATTTAATTGAAAAAAAATCAATTGATAATGAGAAAAAGTAATAGTTGTAGGGATAGGTGCAGCCCTGCAGCTAACCATTATTTTCATTACTAGTTGAACTGACTATCATTTACTATGACTTATACGATTAAGAAAAGCCGCAGTAACGGAATTTAGCGTTAGTTGCAGGTCGCACATATGTCCATACATGAATTAGTTATGGTTGATTACTGGAGTATGACAGTACTAGGAAAGAGGACTGTTGTACTCGTCATGAGCGGAAGTACTACCTGCGAGGCTGAACTCAGGGCTCACGACTACTCATGTTTTCTGTTGGGTTACTACAGGATAAAACAAACCGCAGAGCCGACAGCATGGCTGATAAGTAAACGTGCAGGGCAATGAAGAGCCGCAGCCATGACAACAGTAATCCAGCCATAAATACAGTATCTCCTGTCTGTGGACTGTAGTGAAGCTGTCACAGTCAGTACCCTCTCATGCTTCAGGACACGCTTGCATGTAAACACCACCCAACCCTGACTGGGCAAACCACTGTCCTGTACTGTACATGGTGCTCCAGGAAAGAAATCCCCTTCCTGCATGCCTTTGTCACACACATGTTATTCATTTCCTGTTTTGAGAAGTATAGTTTCATGAATCATGGCCTTTAAAGTACATCATAGTAACAGTAAAGGTGAATCAAACGGACCTGTTTTCAGTCTAATAATAGTGTTTATTTATACATATAAAGCAATAAACCTCAAAAGAGAAAAGATGGACATGATTCAAGAAACATTGATAAACAAGGTTCTTATTATAAAAAACACTGAACTAGTGTTGCAACTAACATTTTTTTTCGGTTTAAACTAAATATTAATATTTTAATTCATATTTTCTCAAATAATATTAATTCTGACTGGGGGCCGCAACTACCAGTTATTTTCATTATCAATTATCTAACAATTGTTTTCTCAATTAATCATTTTGTCAATAAAGTGTCAGAAAATAGTGAGGAATTTCATTATAATGTCTAACTTTTAATCTGTCATCAGACTTGCTGGTGATAAATTTTCTGTCGATCATTCAATTGGACTAATTGATTCTTACATGAAACCAATAGATGAATCTGCAGAGGGGGGTTCTTATTTCAAGACAGTCAGGTGCACAGTGGGGTTAGAGGCCATAGAAGAATACACACTGATAAATTATACAAAACATAAGATTAATGTTTACACCTACACAAATGACAAATGAGAAAAGCGTCTGATAAGTGCATACCCTTCTTCTAAGTGGTATTAATTTTGTCCTCCTCTGTGTGCAGGATAGTCCACCTTCATATGGATGAGCTGGGCTTCATCTCTCAGTGGAGGGCCATATTTGCTGGTGGACTGGCTGGCATTGCTGCTGCTCTGACCACGTACCCACTGGAGGTGGTGGAGACCAGGCTCATCGCTCAGAACTGCAGACAGCCCACGTACATCGGCGTAATTCACACTCTCTCAAAGATCTACAGGAGTGAAGGGCTTCTAGCTCTCTATAGGGGCTTCTCCCTCACTGTCTTAGGTGTGCATGCATATTCATACAAATTCATTCATATTCTATGGGCAGTAAACCTGAATGCCTTTAGCTCTGCACTTGGTGCATTTCGCAGTCATGTAGTTCCAGTGATCTAGTGACCAAAATATTTAATATCCACCCCTTATTAAAGGCATTTCTGTTCATCCTTAGAATTCACCTCATTTTCTGTACACATTCATTCATGATATGTTTTTCTGCAATTTACACTACATTTCCTTTGTCATCAGGTGCATTTCCCTTCTCTGTGGGATGCTATGCAGTCTACATGAACTTGGACAAGCTCTGGCAGGAGCCTCCATTTCGCTTCACTCCCCTCCAGAACTTCATTAGTGGCTGTCTTGCAGCAGGAGTATCTCAAACCCTCTCATACCCTTTTGAAACAGTAAAAAGGAAGATGCAGGTGAGTCACCAGAACACTTTTGCATGTGACCTTTGGTTTTCAGGAGAAGTGAAACAGACCCATTAAAAGAAAACAAAAATAGACAAATACAAGTGACAAATGTCAGTATTTAAAATAGGACATCATCAAAATGTGATAGAGTTGCGTCTTGAGGTAGTCAACTCTTAGTTAGACTCTTAGTTAACTTATTATTTGGCAATTAGTTGTTGTTTTTTTTAAAAATTAAAACAAAAATATTCATTGGCAAGTTTTCTCTACTTGACTGCAGTCAACTGCACAGGCATAGTGCTGGAAATAATTGGATAGATATTTTAATCAAATCAACTAGTTCTCCCCAAACTTGTCTATTAGAACTCGCTATGAATTATTTTTCATTATGCTTACCTGCAATAATTAAGTAACAGCTAAACTCAACAAGGCTGCAGTGTAGCGTGTCATGTGTATTGGTTGTATTACCACCGTTAGTCCATAAGGGGGCAGTGGGGGTTTCTAAATGCAGGCTGGCCTTACTTGGTCACTCAATGTTTCTGAACATGGAAAGTTGTCATTCTTAAATCAGGACATTAGTAGGAGGTTCTTCAACTTTCCCTTCAAAATAAGTCAGTTTGTGGAACGTTAATGTCAGGACATTTTCTGAATGTGTTTTAAAACACCACAGTGATTTGAAAACATGTCTGTCTGCACCATGTTCCCTCTAAGTCAAGTCTGAGATGCCTTCGGCATGTTAGAAAGGACACATGGGGAACAATGGCGCTGCAAAGGACAGAATACTACATCCGGTTTTATCAGCCTATTATTAGCTACCACAAGGTTCAACAGCAGCTGGGAATGTGAATGTGTCCTGGGTCTGCAGAAGCTATAGATAAGTTCTCTAAAGATAGCCAGTAACTATCAGACAGCGGGCAAGCTGAGAGTTGTGTGTGTCTAGTTTATCAAACCATCACAAGCATGTCACCTTACAATAAAGAATAATGTTACTGAATCATTTAATTTTAGGGATTCAGCTCTTGTCTTGTCTCCTTAAAAGCCCAGAGTTAAACATTAAAAGTCAGTGAGAGAATAGATGATAAGAAGACAGCTGAAGATGTTTGCTGAAGCTTAGGGTAATGATTTGAGCTGAGTATTGTTTAACTCATCAGCTAGTTTGATGTTTCATCTACAAATTAAACTGTTTGAACAGTCTAATACCATCATGGTTGCATGTTCCCTTTGGGAACCTTGAAACTTTTAAAGATGCATTCCCCTGTCACATGACAGTCAGCCTGTAGAGTTGTCAGTGTGGTTAACAACCAAGCACAGCACTTGTGAACTTTTGTGCACTTTAATATACGAAGATAACACTTGTACAATTTTTCACTGAAGTTTTAACAGCACTTATCGGCTGTTATTTTTTCATTTTATCCTTTTCTTGTCCTAGCACACTGTTTGCTTTATTATCTTAACAGATTAAGATATTTTAAATTTATCCAGTTGGTTCTGGTCGGTTGCTACTAAAAGTTGAAATGATAAGTTGATTAAATCAGCAGATGCTCTCCCCACAGAAAGACAGGCACACACCAGGTGACAGGTATCTGATCACAGACTCTACAGTAAACAGTGACAGGAAGGTCACTTCTCATTTACTGCACTGCTTTAAAGTCATGCTTCACCTGACCTTTCTCTTTATTACTTTATAGATACATTGTGACACTTTTCTGATTTATTGCTTTTCATTTTCACTTTCATTCCTTCTCTCAGGCGCAGAGTGCCCGTCTTCCCCATTGTGGTGGCGTTGACGTCCATTTCAGTGGGATGATTGACTGTTTCATACAGGTTGTCAGAAACAAAGGCATCCTCTCATTGTGGACTGGCCTCACTGCCAACACAATAAAGGTACAGTTTCACTTCTATATTAGTAATCATTTTTCATTACCCTCTTTCAATCATATGATCAGACTACCGGTCGACTTTATCCTGTGGTACATACAGCTAATAGGAACTGAAATAACTGCACACGCTTATGAACATGAGTGTCTTTATGACGTATGAAGGATTGTAGCCTCTACAAAAGGGTAAGTGAGGACGGGGGTGGGGCATGGAAAGCAATGTTCAGTGTGTAAGTCACAGCAGAAATGTCACGAGCAAGGTGAGCAAGTCTGTCTCCCGAACGGCATGCTCCACTCTCCTATTTCAGCAGCAATGTCATGATAGCTGTGAGTTGTTTTACAAATGGAAAGCCTTTTTAGGAGCAGTTTTATTTACTTTTTAATTTTTCAACCAAAATATCAATCAAAATACAGAAAAAAATCTTGTATAAACATTAAAGGTTTTATTAATGCCTACACCAGACCACAGCCTTCTCTATGGTCAGAGTTTTTAATCACATGATTGAAGTCACTGATCTCCATCTCACAACTTCTCTCGTCACTTCTTCACAGATTGTGCCCTGCTTCGGCCTTCTTTTTACCTGCTTTGAGATGTGTAAGCAAGTTTGCCTTTACCGCAACGGGTACATCATCTCGCCTCTGAGCTACAAGCTTGCGCCGGGGGTCGACCAGAGCCTCGGGCCGTACGAGCTGCAAGAGGTGAAGCGCTACTTGAAAAACAGGAACTTTGGCTCAGGGGAGTCGTCTTTTGGAAACCGTTGGTGAAACTTCACATGAGAAGATATGTTGTGAGAACTACTGACTGCTGACCACACTTGACCATCAAGGCTTTTGTCTGTAATAATTACATAACATTGTGTTTCAGGTTTCATGTTCATAAAAGCAAATAACATACATTTACATTACAGTATGTCCTGTTGGCAACGGTCTACCTCTTTCAGAACATTGTTATCTGTCATTTTATCTGGCAGTATTATTTGTCAATGAATTATTCACTCACCCACTATGTTTTTAACTTAATATTATGTGCCTTGTGAGTTCATTATTTATTTTAGGGCTTATTCCAGTTATTGTCCCATCAACTTCAAATAGTGCCATAGTTTATTCACATAGGTTACAAATGCTCCTCTACTCTATAAATTAATTGAGCATTATGACCATATGCTATGTTGTATAATAGGGCTGCCTGTGTGATAGATTATATTTTTACTGTACGATGAATGATAAATTTTGATAAGTGTTTGTAGTTTATGGACAATCATGTACAAGTGCTAACATGGATTGTGACAGAAGAAATGTGCTTAGAACATTAAAATTTTTCACTGACACAGTTTTCATTCTTATGTTCATTTTTATATTCATGAAAGGCCTGATTATATAGATTACACATTAATAATATCAGTTGAAGTTATACCTTAACTCCAGGCAGATAAAACTACCTGCTCATTGTTGCGGTTCACTTTCCACTGTCAAGGTTCAGCGTGACGAGTGTTATTTATCTATTTTTGTCTTTTACTTAGGTGAACTTTGCCCTGTAGTAAAAATACTAATGGTGTAACCTGTTTTCAGGGGTGGAGAGTAACTAACCACATTTACTGAAGCACTGTACTTAAGGACAGACTTTGTTGTTCCCTAGAGGAAACTCACAGGCTACCCAGCAATTTATAAGTAATAAAATTAAAATTATCAGCTGTAACGTTAAAGTCATGTACACATTAATATCAATAATCATAATCCTAATGAAATAATACACATTTTTCTGAAATGGGCCTTTCTGCATAATGAATACTGTTACTTTTGGTACTTTAAATATATTTTGATGCTAATACTTTTACTTAAGTCAGATGAATGAATGTAGGCGTTTTACTTGTCACTTGAGTATTTCTACACTATGGTATTGATATTTGTACTTGCATAACAAAACTAAATATATCTTCCACAACAGCTTGTTTCAAATAAACATTCTTATGCTAACTGACAATTAATGATAACAGGCAACAGGCCTCTGGTAAGATTTAGATCAGGCTGACTTTGTATTTAGTTAATAAGGCTGGATCAGTCTTCTTCTTATTGTTTAAAAAATATAAACATACAGGCAAACAGGAGGATCAGCAAAGCAGTGTAGTGTGAGTATCACAGTTACAAAAATAATTAAGAACAACAAACAGTTAAAGCAGTGAAAATGAGTAATAATGAGAAAAGTTACAGGAACATATATAGGAGGTAAAATTCACTAATTTTATGGATTTCATATCTTAAAGTAGTTTAATAGAAGTGAGTGAGGTGTCTATTTGAGATAGAAAGCAAAGATCCTCCCAAAATTTCAAAGGCTTGATCCGTCAGCTGATTGAATCACGTACTCCTGCTGCTCCATACTGTGGGAAACTGAGTGACAGCTACAGGACATTAACAGATGGGATGACCTTTCCCCGCCATAGCCTGTAGGCCTCAACTGCCTCAAACTGACCTCTGACACGACCTTGAGCCAATAAATCTGCCCTGAAACTTAATTTAACTGCATAATTTTATCTCTTGAGTTCTGCCGAGGTGTGACTGAATCTGAATATCTAAACAACTTTGAGGGAGATAGTTCAACTTTTCTTGTTGTTGAACAGATTTAAGGGGCTGGTCCCGCTTTGACTAACTTGAGCGATGAGGGAGAGAGCACCAAATCTGAATCAAAGGGCACCCATTAGCTCCGCCCACTGCCCCCCGGCATCTGACCAATGAGAAATGGGAGTCGAAGTTCACGTTTTTTCTCGCGTTCAGCCTTCTTAAATCCCCTCACTTCTAGATTGGATTCGGCCATTTCAACTCTACCGGCAAACCCCACCGACGGAGTAACTGGACGGCGGCTGATAACATCCGAAGATGAGTGAAACAGCTATTTCCTTCGCCAAGGACTTCTTGGCTGGTGGTATTGCCGCTGCCATCTCCAAAACAGCTGTAGCCCCCATCGAAAGAGTCAAACTTCTCCTCCAGGTGAGTGTTCATATAAAACACAATTTCTAGCACCTGGCATCTAATGACACTTTAATTAACTGCAGCTGTTAATTAGAGGCTGCCTGCTTGTGTCTGCAACGCAAAACTGGTGTTGTCAGCTTGCAGCATTGTCTTGCAGAAGTTCTAGTCATTTCTATTGCATGCAGGGCGAGTTTAACAAGATGTCCCGGCGAAGGAACTAATGTAAAGATGCTGCGTTGTTAAAAGTAGAAGCCGGCGTCTAAAAATAGTAAGTCAGAGCAGCTCTGGTGGAGTTTGGTGCAGACACACATATGAGGAATGAGGCGTATCAGACCTGTTACGTAATACGCCGGGCAGCAGGCTGCAGTGCTCCCAAGCTTAATACAGTGTCTTCTAAGAGGCAGGCAAGACCATCGACTGTGTCTATGGTGTTCAGTGGTGCTCATCTTCCCTGGCAGGTATTAAGTTTGGCTTGTCAACAAACAGCCAAGGTCACAGCAAGGGTTGCGCCATGGCTGTCTGCTGCTGCAGTGGGCCTGGGCTCAGCAGCAGCAGCAGCACCAGCACCAGCAGCAGGAGGAGGAGGAGGAGGAGGAGGAGGAGGTGGGGCTGTGAATTGTTGAATGGATGCCGAATCAAGAGTTGTACTCTGGCACATGGCTGCAAATGTGTCTGTCAGACAGACACATGAGAACCATGGGAATTTGTGTCCTCACTGATTTATACTAGTTGTAAGGTTGACAGGTGAAAGGTAAATGCAAGTTGATGTTTGTAACAATGAAGAAATAGGTTTTTGTCAAACTTGGTCTTCTTTCCACTGCCTTAATCATTTTTGTCTCTAATGCTCTGCAGTATCTCTGGTTTGTTTACAGGTACAACATGCCAGCAAACAGATTTCAGCTGACAAGCAGTACAAGGGCATCGTGGACTGCGTCGTCCGTATCCCCAAAGAGCAGGGCTTCCTCTCATTTTGGAGAGGGAATCTGGCCAACGTTATCCGCTACTTCCCCACTCAGGCCCTCAACTTTGCTTTCAAGGACAAGTACAAGAAGATTTTCCTTGACGGCGTGGACAAGCGTAAACAGTTCTGGAGATACTTCGCAGGTAACTTGGCGTCTGGTGGTGCTGCCGGAGCCACGTCTCTGTGTTTCGTCTACCCCCTTGACTTCGCCAGAACACGTCTGGCCGCTGATGTCGGTAAAGGCGGACAAGAGCGCGAGTTCAAAGGCTTGGGTGACTGCCTGGTGAAGATCTCCAAGTCCGATGGCATCAAGGGTCTGTACCAGGGCTTCAGTGTTTCAGTGCAAGGCATTATCATCTACAGAGCTGCTTACTTTGGCGTCTACGACACCGCAAAGGGTAAGTTTTCATCATCAAACATCGCAAAGCTTGATGTCTCTGTTTTCGGTGCATGTCCTTGGCCTTTTTGTGACTTTTTAGATAATCTTACTGATTGACACTTCTCTTACAGGCATGCTTCCAGACCCCAAGAACACACACATTGTTGTCAGCTGGATGATTGCTCAGTCTGTGACTGCAGTCGCTGGTCTCGTGTCCTACCCCTTCGACACTGTCCGTCGTCGTATGATGATGCAGTCTGGACGCAAAGGAGGTAATAAACACAACATTTGAAAGTATAACTTTGATTTTGCAACTCTGTCACTAGAATAAAGGTGTGACGTTTTTTTTTTTTTTTTTTTTTTTTTTTAATTGTAATTTTTTTTTTTTTTTTTTTTCCTCAGCTGACATCATGTACAGCGGCACCCTGGACTGCTGGAGGAAGATCGCACGTGACGAGGGCAGCAAGGCCTTCTTCAAGGGAGCATGGTCTAATGTGCTCAGAGGCATGGGCGGCGCCTTTGTGCTTGTCTTATATGATGAGCTTAAGAAAGTCATCTAAGTTGTTTTGTATGTCCACTGTTCATGTTGTGAAGTTTAACTGTAACATATCTTGTACATTTGGAAGGACTTAAATGCAGCGCTATATTTATAGGGACCAACTAGTATTTTCTACTAGTTGTACCGGGGGAATCATTTATGCACTCTTCTCTTGGCCCATGCTTTTTTTCTTTTGTTCTGCCCCTCACCAGAATGTCATTCCCTGAACACAGGAACCTTGCAGAAAAAGAGAAATAAAGGCAACCTACTGAGCGAATCTCCTGCCTTGGTTTTGAAATGTAACGCCATGTGTGAAGGGTACCACAACAGACGGAGTGTTGACTGAGTGTCCTGGCAGCTCACGTCCTCAGTCGTGTTGCTTCAGGAAAGCATTTGGCAGCCTCTTGCGTGAAATGTAAGCTTAGAGCTGCAGGTTGTATTTGGATGCAAACCAGAATCAGCTGAGAAAGTAAACCTGCTGACAACATTTCAACCAAGACACGCTCGCAGAAAAGTGATATGCAAAAAGTCAGGAGCTGTACTAGTCTACATATTTACATATTGATATTTCAGCACAATATTTGCACAACTCTCCTGTAAAGAAACAACTGGGATTACCTGTAGCGAGGTGGATTATTCCAATCTTCTAAATATACTTTTATCTCCTGCCAAGCCTCCTGACTCTAACTGGTGTGATTGAGAACTTTAACCTTGAGTTGTTTGACCATTTATCGGTATAACACACCTGTTCCACTTATTTACTATCATGTTCAAGTGAGCTGTAGATCTGTTGGTTAAAGTGTGTAAAAACATAATTCCATATTCTAACAGTTCATGACTGCAAAGAAGCAAAAGAAAGTGTTACATTGACAGATTCATATTTAGGTTTTAGGCCCTTTTTAATGTGTATTTTAAGAGCCGTTATAAATTGAATTCCTCCTGACATTTGATCTTACCAGCTGTGAAGCAGGACGTGTTTGTAGCCAACACAGGACAGGACATAGTGTACTTCTCGGGCCTCTTAAACCACGGTGTGTACCAGCCTCTCTGAAATATCCAATTATAATCTTTGTCCTCATGCTAACTGTCCACACATGGGACAGTTGTAGTAAATGTTTAAGTTGTGTGTCAAACAACTCGCCGCACGAAGCAGTTTCTGTTTGATGTGGTAAGTGTCTAAATTAGTGTCCATTTAAACTCTATGGGACTCATAACGCTGATATTTCAGCAATATACTGTCACTTTGTATTATGAACTGCACGCCGGTCACAGGGCCACTTGGCAGCTTTAATCAGTTTTCAGCCATTTTCATTGACCAATTAAAGAGCTGCCGCCCCCTGGGAACCTTATCTCTCCATTTCAGGATATGAAAAAAAAATAAGACAAGTGTTTCAATTAAGAGGCTGTTGGACATATGTGGTCTGAAATTCTCATTAGCAATGACTTGGAAAATTTTCTCTGTAACCCAGGTTACAGACTAATGATTGTACAGTGAAGTTCTCTGTTAAAAGCTCCAGGCTTTCTAACATCACAGAAATCCTCCATGAGTATTCAGTCACTGCAGCTGTAATTACACTCATTGAAAGTGAGACCACATAATTGGAGTCTGAGAATAAGTTATATTAGGGTTTAAAATATCAGTCCAGCTTTGAACCATTATAATGCTCTCAAAGTTCATCAGAAGTTTAATTCTGTCACTGGAGATGTTTCTCTGTAGTTTCTTTTTTTCCCCACTTTTGGACCATATGAAATACCCTCAAACCGAAATCATTAATGTGTCAGTGCTGGTACAAATTTAGCTGTGTGTTGCTCAATGTATTTAGAATTTCAGCTACTGCTCTACCATTTATTTTAATAAGAGCAAAATGCCAGAAAAAAATGAATCATCTACAGATAAAGTGCATGTCTGAAGCTGTAATATTGTAGTGAGATTAATGTGGTTATTGTGAACTTAAACAACACACTGTTTGGTAAGTAGCATGTAGACACAATCACTATGCCTTAGACACTTAACCCAGACTGATCTTTAATGGAGGACATAGCCTCATTTTAGCAACACTATCAGATTACATGATTTACTCAGCTGGACACAGTCTAATCTTCCTCTCAGTGATTCAGAAAGTCTTGGACGTAACCCCTGACCCAGGGAAATCGGTTTTAATGGTGTTTTGACCACTCCACCCCCAAAAGCCCCCCTCAACAGGTAGCACATAGTTAATCCTTCATTCAGCGGGCCTCTCCACAGCTGCCCCACTACAATGTTAGCAGGGATTAGTGAATCAGAAGCAACAGGGATCACAGCCATTTACACACTGTCTGTCTGTGTGGCTGTAGATACGCCGTGCCTCCTTGAGGTCATATGATCAAGAAGTCAGACAAGTGCAGTCGACACATTCTCAGTGTCAAACTGCATTTACTTTGCCTGTAGGATGCCATGATTCTAAATGTGTGCTTGACTTCAATGATATTTCTCAGTATTTACAGATAACAGCTTCTTAAAACCTGAATTTTATGCAGTTCAAGTGTCTGTAGGATCTTTCTTCACTAGTTTAAAATGTATAAATAAGTCTGCTCAAGTTTCCACATGGAAAATTATGGATAACTGCAGACCAAAACAAGAAGTCTGATGTACACTGACTGAAAAGGACAGATTGAGGTCAGGGAAAGTTTAAGTTTAAGTCCTCATGGTGTAAAACTTTCAAGTTATTTTTAGTAAATGTTTCAGCGCTTCTGCTGTGCAAGTGTTTCCCCAACATTAAATTTCAAATAGAAACACCTGCTGTCGCTCTGTTGTGTTTGAGGTTGAGGTGCTGCGGCCCAGTGATGGAGGAAGAACTTAGATCCTTTAATAAGTAAAAGTAGCACCACCACACTGTAAAAATACTCAGTAACAAGTAAAAGTCCTGTATTGAAAATATCACTTAGAAGTACATCAGTATTAGTAAAATGTACTTTCAGTCAATACTAAAGTCTATCACTATGTAAGTAGCACTTCACCCATTTAGTACTTTACTCTTTTAGTTGGCTGTGGTGGCGCTGGTCTCAATTTAATTTTATACACTGCTGGGTAAAACAATACATCATAATTTATAGGCTCATATGTTTCATATGTCCGCCAGTGTTCTCTTGTATGTTTGTGCTTTTATGTCAAAGCACTTTGTAAACCCTTGTTTTTAAAGGTGCTATATAAATAAAGGAATTATTATTAATTATTATTATCATATGTAAAATGTCATTTGTCGAGTAACTATAACTGTCAAAATAATGTGGTGAAGTAAAACATGTACATGTGCTTAGTTACATCCCACTGCAGCTGTGGGCTACTCTTTAAAGGCACTTGATAGTCAGTGTGAGTACCCACATGCAGGTCTAGGATCACTGAAGCTAGCCTTCACACTGGGTGACTAAAAGCCTTCTGTCAGACAGGCTGTTGCGTAACTTCAGCTGTTAGACTGAATTACGTCATGGCTCCATCAGGTCGTGACCTCAGGGCTTTGGGGAAAAACACATGATTAGATCTGATATCTATTACTCTGTCTATACATTAATAAACTCCTAAAATGTTCTTCTATATACTGTATACTACCACATTATAGTGTGTTATAAACCAAGAGTTAAGTCTTAATCTAGACCTTAATATATAGCTAAATGTTAAACAGTGAACTTCAAGTAAAGTGTTACCAATAAATAAATGATGCAGTTAAAGGCAACAGAATTTTTAAAGCGATAACATGGAAATGTTTGTTACACGCTGCTCAGAGTATCTGCTGATTGTATCACAGCTTTATTACTTTAATACAGAGCATGGATCTTTTAATATCTGTACAAGGAGAATTTGCCCACTGACGGCTTGTCTCTAGTTTGAAGGTTGTCTCCTCAGGCATGAATATAATCAAATTTATTTTGCAGCTTCTTTACTGCGTTCCTACTGTGTGAATTCATCATTTTCCAGATGTACATTTTTTTGACAAATGTTTGCAATGGCCTTTTCTTATGTTGAATTCACACTCAAGAGTAAATAATAGGCCTATTCATCATATCTGTCTCCTGTGTTTTGATTGCTAGTGCAACATCCATTATATCCAGATCAAACCCTACATCACATTGTGTTACTTGTGAACATTTAAAGCTGTTTCTTCTCCAGTTCTGTTTTGTATTAGTTGTCGAGCAGTGTTAGCGCCACCCTGTGGCATCTGCCTCTCTTCAGTTATTTCAAACATGACAGTGTTAATAAGATTTAAAGTCAATGCATATTTTCCAGATTAGCCTAAGCAAGTGGTAACCCATTTTTGCTGCCACATACTGCTGTATTTTCATTACTATTACATTATAATCGGAGATTGTTTAATCTAGAAAGTAGAGAACAGCCCAGTGCCAAAACAATTTCTCATTTAAAATGATTTAATATGATACACTAAATCTAGTATTTATTTATGTGTTGGTTTATTTATTATTTGATTTTAATTATTTGTCTTTTGGTTAGATATGATGACGGTTATGGTTGATTAAATCTGACAATAAAATATGAGCAAATCTGAAGGGAAATGTTGAACTTTTTTACTCCACTCAACTATTTACTTTTCAGAGTAAGATTTTACACAAGAAATCATTGTGATGAGATTATAAAATACAACACTTTGCTAAAGATTAAACCAGTGGTTTTGGCTCTTAACCCCATAGGAAAACGAAGGGCCAGTTGGAGGCCACTTGCTTTGAGATGTATATTTACCAAACCGAGACATTTCTCCAATAAGCTTCATTTCTCTTTTTTTCTTTAACTTAGCCTAAATATAATTTTAAAGGCAGGACAGATAGATAGATAGATAGATAGATAGATAGATAGATAGATAGATAGATAGATAGATAGATAGATACTCACCCCACTGTCAGGTAAACCTGTAACCTACAGATGGCGTCCTGTTATAATCAACAGCAGGCACGCGGCTTTGCCCGCAGCCAATCACAGCTCTGCTTTCACCAGTTTGCTAAACTTCGTTGTTTTCCTCTTCTCTGCTGAGCGGCGTCCCCTTTCTCCCGCTGCTAAAGATGTGGCTGAACAAACTAACTCAGGTCATGTGCAACACACACCGACTGGAAGTGCGAGAAAGAAGCGAAAAGAAGGTGTTGTAAGAAAAGAAGATGTATCTATGGCGCTTCTCCATCGCCATAATCCTCGCCTTGGTGTGGTATTTTTCAGACAGCGGCCGCGCAGTCACACAGTACTTTTTATGTTTCCTCTTCTGTTTTACAACTCAACTATCACTCGCAAACAGTGGACGAGAGAGCAGCACTCAAACCGATGAAGAAACCAAGGAACATCCTCTCGAGGTAAGAATGATCTGTAGGCTCTGTTTCATTTTGCATTGCACATTGTGTTTTATTGCAGAAAAGAGTTGCTTTTACGAGCAGTGTCGCATGATCGACACGGGGTCATGTTTTAAATTAAAGATGTAAAAAAAAAATGTAATGCATTTGTACATCATCATCAGTCTTTCTCCCCTATATATGTAAATAAGTGAGATAAGTCTGTGAATATATTATTAATATTGTCAGTGTAATAGTAATGTCTGAAGTCCTTATCAAAGTGGAAGGCAGTAATCGCTTTGCCATGTTTACAAGCCAAGCTACACAAATACTTGAGTTGTGAGATTAGTAAAACTAGACAAATATTGATGTATTTACACTCGTAGCCTGAGGTGCTTTTTCCCCCTCCTTTACAGACCTGGAAAAACTTGTTTTCACTCATCTCATGGCCCAGTGTGACCTAAACATCAGCATTAATCTATGTTACAGATCTGACCATAAGAGCGAACCTGGAGATGACCCGTTGCTTTCTGTTTTGTAGGAAACTGTTGAAGAAGACCTGTTGGATGGAGAAAGCAGTGAGCAGGCAGAACCACTGGAGTGTCAGTATCCACACGTGAAGAGGTCTCTACAGCAAGGTGAGGCTTGTTTTTACAAGGAGACGGTGCGATTTTAAGTGGCATCGACACATTTGTCATTGCAGCTTAGAAACGCTTTGTTCAAGAGTGAGGTGCATGTTAAACCTCAAGGTTGTGCACTTGACTTAAGACTGTCCTGTTGTCTGCACACTGTAGCTCTGTTTGGACTGAACACAGTGAAGAGGGCAGTTTTGCATAGACACAGCTGCAGCTGGAGCTCATGTTACAGGAGGCGAGGAGGGGCTTTGAGGAAAGAAAGAAAAGATGAAAAACAGCCTCAGCAGAAAGTTGATGTGTAAAACAGGAAATAAGCTATCTGGTTTCTATGCAGCTGCGTTATCACTTGTGTATGCTTTGCTCCTGTTTCAGCGATAATTAACAAGGTTAGAGATGGGTTATGAGATTGATTTCACAACTCTCAACAAGCTCAATGTGTTGCAGAATAATAGTGAGTTTGTGTATTTTATGCTTTCTCTATTCAGACTGCTCAAGGTTCAAGTCAGAGTTTGAAAACAGTAGGAAAAAAAACTGTCAGCTTTTTGCAACTATTTGGTGCTTAATATTTTCACTCTTAAATACAGCAGTCTCATTCAAATGTATGAGCTGAGGTTGAGAGTCTAGGTTGATTCTGGTTCACTTTTCCCAACTGTCTATGCATTTTTTTTTGCCTTTTATTCAACACATTTTAAACTGTCCCTACCCTATATGTATGGTGCCATTTTTTCCAGCATAAACTCAGCTATAAAGTGATTTTATTCTGGCTTGTTTTTGTCTTCTTCATTGAAAGTCTATGCATGACAGAGATATCTTTCAAAAAATGTTTTATCTATACATCAGCACTTTCAGCTGGTTTTCTCAGTTTGTCTCTGCGTGGTATATAAACACAGTTATGTTGCTGTAAATAAAAGATGCTCAGTGTATTCACTGAGACTCCCCAGAGGGATTTGTCTTCATCTCACCAAGAGCTTCTCGTGTTCAGAGGAAAACCCTGTCATGGATATTTGACTGAATAATTTTCACAGGATTTCTTTTTTTAGGTTTTTTTTTTTTTTTTTTTTTGGCATTTCTGCCTTTTTATTTATTTTGACAGCAATAATGGCAAGTGACAGGAAAGGCAGGGGAGAGAGAGGGAATGACATGCAGCAAAGGTCCAGATATGGATTGGGACCCAGCTGCTGTAAGGCCTCAGCCCGTATAAATGGTACGCTCTTAACCCGGTGAGCTACCGGTGTGCCCATCCACAGGATTTCTAGATCTGACGATATCTGTAAAAGTAAAAAGGAGAGCTTGAAGTCCCTCAGTTTGATGCTCAGGAGATGATCATGGTAACTCGACGTTAATGTGAATTTCCTTTGTGACTGCTCCCCTCAGTGTTTGAGTGCGCCTATGCTCAGCTGGTCCTGTCTTGGTACAAGGTTCCCGAGCCACGCGAGCACCAGCCTTTGCACCAGGTGCTCAGCAGGGAATTCGACTTCGTAATCGACCGCATCATTGAGAGAGCCAAAGACTTTGATGTCTGCCAGGCGGTCGTGGGCTCCATTCGTATTTTGACCCAGCACTTGCACAACGCAAAGCAGTCGGACAGGTGAGACTTGACACCTACTTTGTTTTAAAATGACTGCTGGGGCTGCTTCAGTTACTCTTTGCACTCAATAATGTGTCTGAACTCTATAAATGCTTCAATGTTTTTATCACCTATGAATAATTTACCATACTTTTACTGGATCATACCTGCAGTGACATCCTAATGGGTGTTCTTATGGCAAATGGTGTTTCAAGGGGAATGCATCACTTTAGATTTAAGATTTACATCTAGTGATCATCAGTTGTGTGGTGATAAACATCTAGGACCTTTTTTAGTACTTATTAATGGTTGGATTCACTTCCCTTTTACTACGTCTGCTGTGTTTTCTGTCTCAGAGAGCTCTTGTTCCGCTCCAGAGCAGATGAGATTGCAGCTCTCAGAGAGTTTTCCGACACTCTTGTACGTAACCTTTTTCCCGAATCTCTCTGGGGCCAAGAAGTCAACCGCTGTGCCTTAAATGAGATTGTTGCCTTAAAGGGTAAGGAAGCATTAAATTATCTCTCTGCAGGAATGCAGCCTTACATAAGGGCTAAGCCTCCCATGATGACTTTTACAAGTGTGAATTGTATGTAATCCCTTATTGTCAGTGGTATTGTGGAGCTTAGGACATGAATTTTGGGTTACATAAAAGGAAGGCTCCTTCCACAGTGACTTTCCAGTTCCCTCACAGGGCTTTTCTTTTTTTTTTAGAAACAGATAAAATGTTTTACCTTGCTGTGCAGTAGGTTTTAGCAATTGTACATGTAGCTCAGTTACTATAAGTGATTTTCACAGCTGTAGTTAAAAAATAACTGCTTTCCATTTAGGTGACTGTCTGATTTCTATGTTTTGGTCGAAGACACGTGACTGTGTGTTTTTTCGGCAGTGTTATAGGGCTTCATTACTACAGTAAAAATTTATCCTAATATTATGATTTCTCATTACAGTTATTAATCTTGATGATTACATTAGTTCAGATTCGCATCATTCATTTTCAATTACACAAGGTATTTGAAGTCAAAAGAAGTACTCGTATGCCAAATTTAAAGTACTAGTCTGATATTTTGGGAAATACTCTTATTCACATTCGTCATCAACATGTCACTTTGAGGTAGACTCACAGTCACAAGTCACTTCTCCCAGCCAAGAAATAGTCTGGCACATTAACTCTCCATAAAAGCACAGCATGTTAATTATTGAGCGTTGAGGTGCTGGCGGGTGGATTTTCCTTTTGACAAGGCCATACTACCTGTTTCCAGCTTTTATACTAAACTAAGCGAACTGGCAAGAAAGCAAATAATCAAATTTTGGAAAATGTTGAATTACTCTTTTTTAAAAAAATTTAATTATGGAAGCTGTTATTACAGACTGTGCAGATACATGACTCATTCCAATCCAAATAAATATATGAATATATGAATATTTTACCTCCTGATCCCAGTGTGTGTTTCTGTCATGACAAATGGAGTTTGTAGAATTAGTGTGTTGGCTGTTTTTCCTCAGGGTTGGGCCTGTTAGTGACGTGGCTGTCGGACCCGGACAACCTGAACCAGCTGGTGCTGAGCCAGCTCGACAGCGCAACCCCCAAAGGCTCTGTGGAGGAGCTGTGTGGATCAGACCCGGACCAAGCCTCTCTGGCTTCGCAGGAGGGCAAATGCGAGGGCAAAGGCAGTGAAGTGTGAGTGGCTGTCATCTTTCACACACCGCTGGAATGACCTAGTCATAGTGAGCCTCAAAGCAGCGACTGTATCAGCTACCGTCTGTGTTAGAAATTGCAACTGACCTTTTTTTTTTGTTTTGTTTTTTTTTTGTTTTTGGGTTTCTAGGAGTTTGGAGGGAGCAGGGATTTCAACAAGCTCCAGGATCAAGGACAAAAGGAAAGGTGTGTTATTTGACTCGGCTTATACATTTCAAAGCTCTGTGATACATAAAGCTGTAGGAACAGCACATGAGATTCTTCACCTGGTTTTTAGTTATTTCTGAGGGAGAAAATACGATGAGTATAATGTAGGCTTGAAAAAGATGGAGTAGTTTGTGGGTGTTTGCAGAACAGATGACTGTGCTCACACAACGTCATGTACAACAGTTTGATGAATAGCACTGGGTTGTCAGCTACGTGACATAATAATTTTCTTTACCAGCCTTCCTTTCAATGCATAATTTGTCCCCTGTTTCTTTTGTTTGTTGGTGCAAACTGTTAATTACACAAACAGCAAGATGAATAGCAAATCATTTCTGCGCAGTCTTCAAGAAACTCCTATCTCTTTGTATCGAAAACAATCCAAAACAGTGATGATGACCGAATAAGAATGATTACGCCGTGATAAAGAACAGTCTGATATGATGAATATGCATATTTCCTGTAAAGGTCCCCTCATAAATTCTGAGAAAGTACCAGTATTTGTCATAATCTGTAAGCATTATTTAACTCTGATGGTACATTTATTGTTCGCCCATCACATTTGATTACTTACCATGTTTACAGCACTTACAGGCCTAATGAAGTGTGAATTATATCCTGTGGATAGTTTTCTTGCATATTTTCCCACCATAGTGATGCTCCATAGTTGTTGCACTTCCTCACAGTACATAAAGTGTATGCAGCTAGTGTTGATTAGATCAAGATCAATGTCAAGGTAGAATTCATTATTATTCTCCCCATGCACAATACTCGGTACACGGGGGAAAGAAGTTCAGTACGACAGTGAACTCAATAAAGAAAACCGGTACAAAATTGATGACATAAGCTGTCAAATTGTCTGTGACTTTCACATGCATTTTTTAACATTCAGCCAACAAGTTGAAGGAAGGATGGTCAAAATTTGTGGACAAGATGAAGTCCAAGAAGGCCAAGAAGAAGAAGATGAAAATGATGGAGCAGGAGCTGATGATGAGGATCATGGTGGCCCATGATAACGTGTCCAACGAGGACGCTGTCAGCAGCAGGGAGGGCTCCATTCACAGCCAGCAGGACTCTGACAGGGTGAGGCCGCTGCAGATAACACAATATATTAAACTGAGGATGACAATTTGTGAAACATGACAGATTCATTGTTGCTTTTTGGCCAAACACCATTAGGAGGACAGTGATCTCAGTGATCTGGAGAGCTACTTGACAAGCGTACAAGAGGACATGATGGAATTCAAGCTGTCATATGAGATGTGGCGCGTTGGCCGCTGGGCTGTCAGCATCCCTCATGTGAGTTATAAATATCACTGACAGTGTGGAATGTCCTGGAGGCTTGTTATCTGTCTGCTGAGGCTCTGTAAAAGCTTGTCCTTGGATGGTATGTTAATGTTTGAGCTTGGGTTTGAGCACGAGTTAACTGTGTCGCAGGTCGACTGGGAGGATGAGGAGCTAATCTTCACCGTACATCTGGAGGAGAACGACAGCCCGGAGAACCTGCAGTGGGACATCAGGAAGACCTACATGGATGTGATATATTTTCGCAACCGATGGCAGGTAAAAGGCAGATGGAAAGCCTTGTTGTGTGAGTTTTTTTTTTTTTTCAAATTTTCTGCTTTTAACAGATTTAATTACCTCACTTGCCAGTACACGTACCTAAAACTAATGCAACAGTACTATAATAATAAACATTTATGTCTCTGGGGGTATGCTAAATGATGGACCCACATCTCTGTATAATGGAATACAGTTCAACAGCAGCACAAACTGCAGCCTGCAAAATTATCATAAAGTTGAATCAACACCTCTCCAAAACACTTTGAACTGAACATTATGAAGGGAAGATTTATTGAAGGACTGTTAGACTACATTAACTTTAGATAGATGTTACTTATAATAAACTGTCAACTGATTGTAATGTCTGCATATACTAAATAAATCACCCTGAGTTGAAAACCAGACCAGCTCTGCATCATGAAGGAAAAAAACCTCAGCTCAACTTAAAACTTATTTTTATTTATTGAAGCATTTTCTCAGAGTGGAAAAGCAATACCATGCTTAATTAGGCTTGCATATCATTGGCCTTGCATTGCCTGCTTTTACACAAACTGAGCTGTGCTTGTGAGATGAGGACTGCTGATTTTCTCACTGACATTAGAGGCCTTTGAATCACTGACTTGATCCCCATGTCGGAAGCTAGCAAACCAAACCATCATGATACACAAGGGAGATGATGCTGATATCATTATAGCTGTTAGCATAGTCTCTAACATGTTTGGTGAATAACCACATTCCCTGCACTGTTTGAGCTTCTATCTGTCTGGTGAACAGTTTTTTTGTCAGGTTGTCAAGAGTGTGGGTGGGTGGGAAGAGTGTGAGAGTGTGTGAATGAATGATGAGAAGGCAGAGTGTCTCCCCACATTTTTAAAGCCGATCTTTAACCAATACTCAGATGTTCACATATACATCGAAACAGTAACTTTAATCATTTTCTGCTCTCCACACTGGAGAGAAGATTCTCTCCTAATTCAATTCCAAAACCATTTGCTAAAAAAGACCGCAACTTTCAAAGATACCCAATTGATTTTTCTCAGTTAGAAGGCTGACGCCTCATTATCTCCAGCTGAACTTGCGAGAGTATTTTTACACACAACATGAGCTGTGGATTTTGCCACAGTCTTGGTATGAACAGGATGAACAATTTAAACCTAAAAATGCAAACTTTTCTTGAATGTCAGGATGGTGTGAGAGATGTTAGAGATTCTGACTCAGAGGAGACTAAGTGGGGCCAGTGTGGAGGTAAATGTAGATCGCAGGACAATGAGGCGGGGGTTTTCCCACGAACTGGAAAAGCTACTTATTGTTTGGGAATACCTTTCACACTCAACCCGCCCCATGTTTGCTACAAGGCTTTTCCTCTAGGTTTTCTACTGAATGAGGTTATTGTAGAAATGTCAACATATATGGCATGGATGTATATACTCTATTATATGGATGACATGCAGTGATATCTACAGGAAAAAAAATATCTGCAGAGCTAAGGATATAACTCCTAAATTATTTTGTCTGCACCGACAGTGCAAAGCAAATTCCACTTAAACTGTTGAGTGAAATACTGTAGCAGCAGTTGGAAATGACAAGTTCCCTTTGATTTCCCATCATCATATAGTCCAGTGTTATGAATTGCTATTGGATAATTTAACAGATGATTTTGGTGTGTATTGAGTGAAAGAAAATCTTTTTTTCCTTTTTAAGTTCAGAGAAACTAGTTGTTCCTTATTATCTATTCAGCATGAGCCAGAGGGAAACACTGTTGTGGAAACAAAATACAAGGAATTCAGCTTTTTGCACTTTTCAGGACTCAACCAGTCTGTCCACAATCCTGGTACTGGAGGAGTCGGAGGTCAACGATGAGGTTAAAGAAGAAGTGAGAGTATCTGTGGAGCACTTTCTGCAGGTGAGAGAAACAAAGAAAAATCTTAGATGTGTTGACAGATAATCACTTGAAAGATTTATGGCTCAACATTTTGTTATTTTCTTCCCCAGGAATTAGTTTCTGATAATCTGATCGGCCACACTCAGCCGGTTTTTCAGTTCCTCTGCCCGCTTGATAAATTGCTGAATGAGGAAGAACATTATGGAGGCGTGTGGGGCCTTCTCAGCGGCCTGGCCTACTTCCTGACTCCAGGACAGGAGGAAGAAGAGGTAAAATTTCATGTGTCTGCTTTTCTTCATGTTGACATCTTAAAAGGATCCCCCCAGTTTATTAAAACATTGGACTTTCTGGACCATTGGCTATCATTCCTACCATCAATAATAAGATTGTCCTCAACAAGTGAATTGCTGAAATCTGTGAATATGGCAACATTGCTACAAAAACATAAGCAGTCAGATGATCAGGAACTTATTTGGAGGTGAAAACAAAAGAGAATGATAAGATTATTACTCCAGCTATTTGCTGTGTTTTTAACATCAGTCACAGTTGAAAGACAAACGTCCTTCATTCTGCCAGAGATGCGGATGTTTTCCTGCGCAATGCACTCGCTTTTGGTTTCACCTCCAAATAAATTGGTCTAGATATTCTGGCTCAACTATTTCCTTGTTTACAACCTGTCTGAGAAATTCTCAGCACTTGTGTTTCTCAGTCAGTTGTTGCAGAATCACCATAATCCTAGATCTCAGCAATTACTCAGTAAATACAATATGACCAATAGAAATGATGCCCAAAGCTTAAAATAAATGTGTCCCAGGTTTTACTAAACTGGAATCGGTTTCAGTCAGGACACTCGTGTCATGGTTTTAACCATTTATTCCTAAAATAAGCTTTTTAGTTTGACAGTGTGACTGTGACTCATGTGACGTCTGGAACAAATCTGAGCTGAAGTTTGACACAGATTAAACAACCTTTAATAAAAATTTCAATTCACGCACTACGAAATGCTCAGACAGGAGGAGACAGGGAGGTGGAGGGAGTTAGATTGGCAAAAATCCCTCAAATTAGACAGTTCTGACTAACTGAAGATCTTAGAATTTTTTACTTTTGGTCAAACAAAAAGCTATTTGAAGAATCTCTCTCTCTCTCTCTCTCTCTCTCTCTCTCTGGGAAAATACGTTAATTTTTCACAATCTTACAGATTTAAAGACGAATCAATTAATCAAGAAAATAATCAACAGACTAACAGATAATGAAAATAATTCTTAGTTTATCAAAAATATCAATATATTCTATTTTATAGAGGAAACAAGATATGCACCATATCGGCTGAGCAGGTTACCATCTATGTGCATTTTAAAATGACTGCATTTGAAAGGTAAAGAACTGTGCGATGATCTCTCTCTCTCTCTCTCATTCTCTCTCTCTCTCTCGCTCTCGCTCTAATTGGTCGACAGCGACATGCGTTGTGACCATGACATGTTACTGTAGCAATGTTCCCAGAGGCAAAAAATACCTCTGTGTCCCAGCCTTAAGTTTCCCTTCTTAAAGGATGTTTAGCACCAGTAGTAATATTGTGACATGCCACAGGGCGTCCCTGAGACCAGACGCTGTTGACAGCCTCGTGTTCCTGTCACAAAACCTGCAGAGACTACAGAGGCACAGCGCACACCTTTCTTTATACTGCACACTGTTTCTGTTAAACTCAGTTTTATTTATGTGCAGAAGCTACTTTTTATTCAAGGACAGAGTTTTTATGTTGACCTACTTTACAGCAAGATGTATGCTGTGTGTGCAATTGTCTTATGTGTATAATTTTTTTTAAATACTACTTATCCAGTTGGATATTTAGCACCCCTGTGACCCTAAAAGGATGAGCAGTATGGCTAATGAATTAATAAATATACAGTATTCTGTGTTTTTGGTGTTACAAATAGATACTGATACTTTAATATTAAACTTACAATGAAAACTTTTTTGCTTTTGATCTTAATTGCCACTTCAATCAAGATATTAATTTTTTTTTTTTAAGTCATGTTGCCAAGCTCTAAGTCCTAAATGTGACTAAAACATGACCTCAATGTCTGCCTGAATTATAGCATCCTCCGCAGCAGCTAATAGATGTAGAAATGGAGACAGTTAATCAAAAACCTGCATTAAAGGGGCTCTCCAGTGATTTAGACTTGCACTTCCATTAAGTTGGGGAACTATGTTAAAATTGAAGCAGTCAGCATTGGAACATCCTTACTTTTATCCCCACTATGAGTAAAGCTTCTAAAACACTGGATCATTTACCATATTGCAACTTGATATCGTCTTTCATTAGACTCTCACTCCATAATAACATGATAAAGTCACATTTTCTAAACTCCACATCCCCTGCTTTTTAAAGAAGGCTTTCTCTCATCAATGTGAAGTCTCACACTGAAATTGAGATCACTCTGACATTTCCATCTTCCCACAGAGCCACATTATCAAACTTTTTTTCACATGCTTTATAATACAACCCATAATGAGTAAACTGAGCTTCATGTGCAAAATCCCTGCTCTAAAAATGTGATCGTAAACTGATGTGGCTTTGTTCAGTTGCTGGTGTCTGCCATGCTGCACCATCGAGGCCCGAGCCACAGGGTCAGCTGTCACTACCTTAATGTTTTGTTTTTCTTTGCAGAGCCCTAGCCCTCAGACAGAAGCCTCTAAAGAAATCATAATGCCATCTCCACTCCCAGAATCCACAGCTCAGCCGTCAGAAAACTCAGGTGCCTTTACTCAGAATGGCAGTAATGTTGCCGGGGCTCCTCTCCCAACTATCGTTATCTCCCACTGTGATCCCCCTTCAGAACCGCCGGAGGAAGCAGAAACAGAAAAGGAAACACAGTCTGCTGTTCACTCAGAGTTTTCAAATGCTGAAAACTGTTCCCAGGACAAAATAGAGGACTCTGATAATCCCTTAACCTCTCACTTTAAAACCATCTTCAGAGGACTGACCCGGTCCAAGTCACAAGAGTCTCTGGCCTCAACAAAAACCAGCGGTGATGGAGACCCGCCTGATTCAGACTCCACTCCACACTGCAGACAAATAGGAAGCTCACAGGGGGAGAGCGCAGAGAGCCCGTCATGGCTTCATTTCAGCGCAAGGTCGAATAAAAAGGAGAAAATATGTTTCAAGATGTCAGGTGGAGCGAACAAATCTAAAGGGAAGGAGCAGGGCACTTTGCCAAGAGGGGAGGACTCCCAGGGTCAGAAGAGCCAAGTCAACTGGGAGCAGCTGGAGGCGACCAAAGCCATATTTGATCTGCTCAAAGAGATATCTGGTTTGTTCAGTTTTTTAAAACTCGGATGGCGTTGTTCACAGCAAGTGTTTTGTTTTTTTTTTTTATTCTGTGGTCCATTTATTAGAAATGATGTGTACTTCACTTTACTGCGCTTAGATTAATGCATTTAGACAGCCAGTTATTTTAGTTCTTCACAGCACCATAAGCAAATTAACATGGAGAGACTTGATATTTGCCTGAGAAAGCTAATCCTTTACGTCTTTATTAATCATCATGTGGTATTTTAAAATGAACGTATGGCTTGTTTTGATAACTCCCCTGGGTGGTGCATTCATATGCTTCTGAGGAGCTCAGATAATGCAGGATTGACAGCAGGCAGCCAAACAGCATTATATACACCATCCATGTAGTCAACAAAGAAAATTAGATGATAGACAGTGAGCACACTGATGTGATGAAAAGGGTAATGTTAATTTGGTAACTTGATGCAATGGAAGGTTTGTCTGTGTAGTTTCAAAATCGTGGGTTGTCAAAGTCGCTTCATCAAGAGCATTAATCAAATAATCTTTGAACTGAATTATCATGTAACAATAATAGAGCCTCAACAAAGAAAGATAAATGTTCACTGTGATGAATGATCAACCTCAGGCAGGCTTCAAACCTATGATATTTCATTTATACCGTACTGAAATAAACTGAAAACAGTGACTTGCCCAAAGGTAGGAAAATGCATTTAAAAATCTTAACAGCTGTGATAGGCTTTAGTAAATAATTGACTGTCATATTAACCTTGCATTAAGCAATATTTTTAATGAATCAAAGCACACTGCATAATCTTTATTGTGCCAAAATGACAAAGATTTAACAAGTAAAGCTAATTTTATTTATATATATATATATATATATATATTTATAAAGTCATTTGCCCCTGTGGGCTTTATAGACTGTCTGACACCGTCTGTCCTTTAGACCCATGATTTGGAAAAGGAAAAATTCAGGTGGATGAATTTGGAAAGTGTTAAGTGGTAAACATAGTTGAGCATCTCAAGAGCTAAAGACCTGTTTGAAAAAGTCTTTAGAATTTGGTTGTTGCTTTTTTGATGTAGAGGTAAACAGATGTTCACTGCATTGTCCTCAAGTGGTAAAAATGAAAGAACACATGCACAATTTGTGACAAATATGCTAAAACATGATTGGTGTCCTTCAAGACAATTCTAATACTTGTGTCTTAACAGGAAACTCCATCCTCATAAACATATTTGATGCCATTCTGAAACCCGTTATGCCCATCTTGAAAAAGTAAGTTGACTGATGATGCCTCCTCACAGTTCATGCATTTGTTGTATCCCAGTCTATGAGAATGACTTATGATTCTGAGTTGAATTCCTCCTCAGGAAAGTGAACTCCTTCTTAAACAAGATGAACCCAACAGAAGCGCAGATGGCTGCGTACATCGACACTCTGCGAGAAAAACAGTGGCCGGAGTTTCAACCAGCAGCACCTCCTCCTCCTCCTCCACCTCCTCCTCCTGCTCGCACGGACGAGGAGAAAAGCGAGACCAGGGAGCGAGCACATAACCTCATCAATGCCAGATGTAGGTGGACACCTTTCAGCACTTTAGAAGGAAGCGTCCAGTTATTTTTGGCAGTTGGTCATTCATCTAAAATGTATTTTTAATGTCCTCTCTGTAGATTCAAACTATCTTGTCCTGAAGAAGACGGACATGGAGTCTGTCTTTAATCTTTTCCAGGACAGCGAAGAAAACAAAACGCTGGTATATGTGAGTATCCCAACATTCACTCTTCCACCATTTTATTTAATATAGTACACAAATCTTGTTCTGACTTTGTTGCCTTGTCTTTTTCAACAGATGCTTCTGTCATTCCTTTTGAAGGAATTCTTTCCCAGTGAGCATTCCCTAAATGTGAGTGCTGCTGCCTTACTGAAAGTGACCAATTCTACCAGCTGATCTGTGAATCTTTGATAGCTTTTTTTAATGGTACTTGTTTGACATTTTAGAATATCAAATTATTTATTAAATGTTTTAAAATGCCATAGAATATTTGAGACCACTTCTATATCAGTGTCAAACATCCTTTTTCTGCATTTTTACCTCAAACATACTGTGAATTCTTCCTTTGGTTTTTATTTTGTGAAGTTTAAACGCTTTTGTACATGTTCACTTGTCAATGTGGTGGATCCCAGCTTTGCATATTGAACTTTTATTGTTAAGCTCAGAGGAGAATATAAAGTATATTTCATATTTACAGTTTGAATTTCACCCCACAAGTTTTAATGTAACAGAATTAGAATATTTCTGAAATATTTTATGTCACTTTGAGCACTTTTGTACGGTGAGTGTTTGTATACTGAATGATTTCACCAAAGTTTTATAAAAATAGAATATCTCATCATCACTACTCACATTAATCTGTCAAAACATAGATTGCACCACTATCAAAGGAAAGCTGAAATAATGTTCATGTAAATAACTTGAATTAATTCCAAATAAAATATTTTAATAAATAACTTTTTGCTGTTATGTGTTTGGCTTTGTGAATTTTTAATTGACTTTAGACTCTGTACAAGATTCAGTGCAAATATAAGATGTAAATTAGTTGCTGATGCCAGCATCTTATTTGCTGTTCAGCAATATTTGTTTCAGATGAGTTACACAAGTTAATCCACTTGGGGGAATCTTGTAAGAGAACTGTGAGATGTATTGAAGTGATTAATATAAATAAAAAACTATAATATCTTAGTAATATGTATTTACCTTCACATTTTTCTAGTGGAATAAGCTACAATAAAATACATTTGTAGAGGAATACAAACTCAACAGAACACGTCCAACAAAAGTTTGTTCTGTCAAAATAACGATTCATATTGAAGACTGAGCAACGTGACTTGAAGTTCAGCTGAAAAACAGTCCAAGCCAACAGCTCTGCTCATGTTTCTATAACCCTTAATGGAAATGCTTTCTCTAATGCTCATGCTATTTAATTATGGAAGTGTAACAGAATTAATTACAGGGTTATTTTGGTCCAGGTCACAGGAGGGAGATTATCTGGTGGTGCAACAACATGAATACATTTTTTATTGAGTTTTTTGAAGAAATGAAGTTCCTAGAGCCATGTAACAAAACTGGTCGTTCTCATTTGATTCTATTATCAGTGATAATAGGATAGTGATTATAAATCAGAAAAAGACTAGATAACAAAAACAGCAGTTAGACCAAAGGGACTGTAAAAAATGTTTGAGTATATGAAGAAGAAAACTGGATTCCAAAAAGCATAGATTATAACTATCAAATGAGTCCCTTAAGCAGCACCAGTGGAAAAATAAACATTAACATTAAATCCCCATAAGAAGAAAAACTAATTAATCTAGAAAAATAAAAATATACATAGAAGAGTACAGAAGAGTGTAAAGAAGAGTAGAAAAACAACTCTTTTCCAAATTAATTAGCTAACAGTTACTTAGAATGCTTTATTGGCAACACAATAGCCTCAGACAGTTTGTCGGCTGGTTAGCAGTAGACTGATCACAGAAAACTAATCAGGAATTAAAGACAAAGGGAAAAAGAATCACAGAACAGCTATAATAAAAAAGGGCACCTACAGATAAGGCTCTGACAAGGGCATTTGGAGAGTAGATGAAAGATTATCAACATTTACTTGGTCACAGATGTGACAGAATGGTGAATGTAACAGTGTCAATTAAACTGCAAATGCTTTGGAACTCTGCCAGTGGTTGCTATAGCAACAGAAATTTCAACTAAAGCCAACTGCTGCGGTATGATCATTTTCCCAACCCAAAATCTTTGCTTTAAATCCTAGTGGAGATCCCACAGTCTATAAACATATCAAATATGTAAGGCTGAAATTTGGGAAAATGTGTGTAAAGTGATGCACAAGACATCTAGAATACAAGCGTCTCATGAAGTTGTTCAGCCATTATAAAGTCTTGGCTTTGAATATGTCACTCAATTTAAGAATCATATGAAGATAATGAAGAGTTGGAACAAGATTATACAAAATGTAAAAAACATACAGTATGTGATATGATAGTAATTAATGCTCAGAGGACTGGAAAATAGACAATGTGAAAAAACTATAGGCATCTCCATCTGCTGATGAGGATAGTGTGAAATCATTAGCATGTGTATGAGTAGCAAGAAGAAAAAATTAAATATGAACTAAAACTATCAAAAATAAGAAAATAAAGTAGACTACATGCATTGTAAAGAATAGAAACAGAAACAGTACAATACATGAACATGAATTGGTCTTCAATTTAAATTAAAAGGTAGAACATTCAGGGTCAATTTATTTGCACAGCTTTACATATTCCAGGAATCTTTTGCAATACATTTAGGGGTTTACAATGAAATCAAATTTTGTTATAAAAAGCATTAAATGTGTTTGTGTTAAGATGATGTGATACCAATGAAAATTCCAGAGCAGCTACTGGTTAGGACTTTGTCAGGGGCGGAAGAAGAACTCAGAGCTTTTAAAAATAGCAACACCACAGAGCAGAAATACTCTGTTACAAGCAAAAGTCCTATACATTTAAAATTTTCCATTAAGTAAAATATAATAAGTACCAAATGTAAAAGTTCTCATTATGCACAATGGCCCATTTCAGACTAATGTATTGTATTACTGGATTATATTGAATGATTCATCACTTTTTTATTGAAGCTGGTAAAGGTGAGTCTGATTTTAATTACATTATAAACTGCTGGGTAGCTTCTGAGCTTTTCGCTGGGATCAGTCACGGGGTACCATGCAGGCCTAACCGCAGCAGACCGGGTTCGAGTCCAACCTGTGGCACTTTGCGCCATATCGTCCTCTCTCTCTCTCTCCCCTGACTTTCCTTTCTCAATCTCGCTATCGGAATTTGGGAAAAATCAACTTAAAAGAAAAAAGTAATGAACCTGGCTGGGACGCACTTGTTATTCAATGCTTTTCATTTCAAAAGTCACAGTTGGGCATTGAACAAGTCCCAGCCTGGTTCAACACCTTTTAATGACATTATTTATCAACATTATAAATCAATTTGTTGATTATATTTTGTGTTTTTTGTTAACCATCTGAATCAGCAAAGTAGTTTCCTATCTGATGTTGCAGCTGGTCCTCCAGTCCAGCAGGTGGCAGGTCTGTGAATATCAGCAGCAAACAGTCTGCTGTGTTCAGTTATCCAACATGGCTGCGCCCTGAAGGATGCTGCGAACAGCGTGAGGGTACAGGACAAGTGTCAGGTATGCTAACTCTGAGGAGTATGTCGTTTTCTTTGGGGATTAACACGGTTTCTCTGACCTGTTATAACTGGTGTGTTTGTGGAGTTAACGTGCCCGTGGCTTCTTTCAGCTCCGTGTGGCTGCGTTTGTGCTGTGGATACAAAGTGTTGCTGCTGCGCGTCGCGTTTAGTTTTGGAGTATCTCTTGTGTTGTAAAGACAGACGTGTGCCGTTCCCGTATTCTATCATTCTTGTAATCGTTTTTCAACACGTGCTTTGATGTTTTTATCAGCTCTTCGGGAGAAATGGTCAAAAGCAAAACCTCAAAGGCTCTGCATTCAGACTCAAAGTCAAAGCTCCCACTGATGCTTCATTTTGATAATTATTGGGAAACGGTGCTGGCAATATCATTGTGTGCGGATGCACTAAATGTATGTATAGTTCCCAACTTTTTCTGTTAGTTTTTACCAATAGGTAAAACTACAGGTATGTGGTATTTGGTGTTTCAAGGAAAATAAGGGCTATCATAACTACTTAACTGAAAGCTTTTGAGGAATGTGTATTTTAAAATGATCTCCTTAATTTTTTTAAATAAAATTTAAAAAGTGCAGCTTGACTTTTCATTTTACTCTCATTTGTTAACTCCTTTTCACATCTAAACATCTTTCTGTCCCTCCTCTAAACCACTCCCCCACTTTTCCCACTTAATTCTCAAAGTCTTGTCTCTCTCCTGTGTGTGAAGCTGACTTACTGACTCAAGCCGCAATTATTGGCTCATGAGCATCACGTGACCAGTGCCGTAAAGGCCAGAAAAGCTGTGCCAGTTGTAATAGAAACACTCAACAATTGAATAATTCTCAATAATTTATAGCTTATATGTCCGGGTGTGTATACACCGCGGTCTGCCTCTTACTCTGCACTGACCTCTATGACCTCTGCACTACTTGAACAGAATTAGTAGAATTATACCATTAAATAGAGCATGAACGGCATGTTTCTTTTCACATTTGTCTCTGTTAAGCAAGTTAAAAGCCCTGAAAATCAAGTGAAGTTCTCAACCAAAGTAACAGGCACAGTTGTGGCTTTTCACTAATGAGAGATTTCTGTATTTGTGCTGTTGTCTGAGCTTTTTTTATTATTATTATTTTTTTTTATCAAAGTTCAGTTGGAAAAACGTGTTGTCCGTACATGCATTGAGTCAAAACCTGGTGACAACTCTGGGGTTGTACAACTAGAGATAATTTTATCGATTCATTGTTTATTTTGCTGATTATTTGTCTGGTCCATTAAATGTCAGAAAATAGTTATTAAAAAAATGCTGATCACCAAAGTCCCAGTAGACATAGTAAATGGCTTACTTTGTCCCATCAACTTCCAAACCATTTAGATATTTAGTTTTTACTTTGAAGATGGTGCAAACAGTGACTTGGTATTTTTTATTTAAAAAATGACTTAATCAGTCATTAAAATTATTTGCCAATTTACTTTATGAAGATCGACTCACTGATTAATAGATTTTTTTATTTTTTATATTATCTTAATTTTGGCATTAATATTTAATGTCATGAAGAAGTACTTAGGATTTGAGTCTTCAGGACCGTCAAACTTTGTACAAACTAATACATTCTTATACACAAAAGACACGGCTGTTCATCTCTGCCAACAATGAACTCAAGAGCAAGAAATCTTTTTTCATATTTTGGACAAACAGGTTTACTTGATGAGCAGCACCAGCCTGACTAAAAGTCTGTCCAGCTTGTACAGTACTTGTGTTTTACTCACTAACTTGAGGCTTGATAGTCTTACTATAGCGTCAGAGATTTCTCTCATCGTTTCTTAATCATTGCCAAATTAATCAGACTCAGACATTTTTCACAGCAGACATTTTAACTTGTCATAGCAGGGAAAGCACAACTGGAACTAATTACATTAACGATCATCAAGCAGTTGTTGCGGTTTAATGAAGCAGTGAATGGTGTTATTAGTTACACCAGTGTAAGACTCTAACTATTACTTTCTTGATTAATAATTTTGACTTGAAAATGACCAAATATTGTGAAAAAAGTCCAAGGTGACTTATTTAAATGTATTGTTTTGTCCGATCGACAGTCCAAAAATATTCAGGTTACAATATAAAACAGAAAATCTTCACATTGGAGAAGCTAACTAATTTAAATTATATCCTTACTGGACAATTTTTACCTGATTAATCTTTGACGATGAATGA